AATACCGCCAAAATTTTAAGGGAATCTCTCTATGTAGACAACTGTCTCGTAAGTTTTAAAAGCATTCAAGAGGCGAGTCGGTTTGTCTTGGAATCACAAATGTTACTTTCGTCAGCTAAATTTAATCTTAGAGAATGGAGGTCGAATTGCGATATTGACAGTATTCCGGATTCTGAATCAAATGCACTCACTTTTGTTTTAGGCTTAAAGTGGGAATTGGAAACTGACACTGAGTCACAGGGGGAGGGCGAAAATGTTGCTACTAAGCGAGCATTACTTTCTTGTGCTCAAAAATTGTGTGATCCTCTGGGATTTTCTTCTCCCGTGACCCTAGTCCCTAAACTGATTATGCAAGAATGTTGGAGTTTAAATTTAAATTGGGATCAAAGCTTACCTGAACATTTAGAGCANTTACTTTCTTGTGCGCAAAAATTGTTTGATCCTCTAGGATTTTCTTCTCCCGTGACCCTAGTCCCTAAACTGATTATGCAAGAATGTTGGAGTTTAAATTTAAATTGGGATCAAAGCTTACCTGAACATTTAGAGCAGAAATTTTCAAAATGGAATAAGGACTTAATATTGCTTTCCAATGTAAAGATCCCAAGATGGATGAATATTAATAGATCTATTGATGAGAAGATTAGCTTGCATATATTCTGCGATGCGAGCAGAGTTGCGTATTCCACCTGCATTTTTCTTAGGGTGGAGACTAGAGATTGTGTTTATGTGAATTTTGTGCAGGCTCGTTCAAGAGTTTCACCTTTAAAAAATATAACAATTCCAAGACTGGAGTTGTTGGGATGCTTGATAGGAGCCCGGCTAGGAAGAACTGTTATTGTTGACTTAACAATTCCAGAACATAAATTATATTACTGGACAGATTCGAGTACTGCATTGTGTTGGATTCAACGAAATGTACGATGGGGCACATTTGTTTGGAATCGTGTACAAGAAATAAGATCCTTGTCAGAAGGAGGAGAATGGCGGCACATCCCCTCGGAATTGAATCCAGCGGACCTTCCCTCCAGAGGTTGTTATGCTAAAGAGTTTGTAAAGTCGAGATGGTGGGAGGGTCCATCATGGTTAAGAGAACCAGAATCGTCATGGCCTGAAAGTACCTTTGCACCTGAAGAAGATGTTATTGAAACTGAAAAACGTAAATCCGTACAAAGTTCAGGATTAGAGTCTAACTTTCAATATATATTATTCAATCTCTTTAAAGCTAGTTTCTTTGAATCACCTAAACATTGGGGATCCTTTTTGAGTGGCATTTGAACCACATATCTACCACATTCGTTGCGATAATGAGTTTTTAAAAAATGATTTTCACAATATTCCTCCTCACCAGTAAGCATATCTGACGATACACTTTCGATTTCCCAAAATCTCTGGAGAGAATCTTCAATATTTTCAGAGTTATGTGTTAAACCGCAAAAGGAATTTAAAATGTTCTCATGAACCTTACCCGTTGCTATCAAACCAAAAGCAGAATTTTGGAATAACAAATTAGGAGAAACTCTGGTTTTTCCTTCCTTTAAAATATCATAAAAGAGCTCAGCTCCTATAATCATATTTATTTTACTCGGTATCTCAAAATTTGGATCAGCTAATAACGCACGATCAGGAATTAAATGCTCACTAATTTTAATGGGAGTCGATGGAATCAAGCCCGTAATTCTCGGAACTATTAACAATTCAACTTGCGAAGAAAAAGATAAATCCTTATTACAAATCAAAGAAGTCGCCTTCCACTTAACATTCATTTTATTCTCTCCCAATCCACTAACAGAAATGTTTATTTTTTCTCGCTTCAGCCCCAAATCAAAACAAGTATCAGAATTTAAATAATTCGACTGACTGCCATTGTCCAACAATGCTCTTATTAAAACATATTTATTATTAAGCGGACTCCAGATGTTAATTAAGGCAGTAGATAGAAGAACTAATTTATTACTATTTAGACTACGAGTTGAGAATGCGTGGGAAACGCTACTCTCTTTCGCTTTCTCTGAGTCAGCAATTTCACCGGCTTCAGAAATATTACTCAATACATTTGGCGCCAGGGAGGGGGATTGTTTTGGCATATCTGAATTTGATTTAATAGTTTCAAGCGGGCGAGAATTATCTCTATGAAGTAAATCGTGATGTTTACAGTTACAAATTTACAACAAACTTTCGAAAAACAATTAGAAAGTTTATGATTATTACCAAAACAATTAATGCAAAGCCTTAATTTTTTAACTTCTTCAAACCTTTTTAAAGGGGAAAGATCTAAAAATAATTGACAATTATGCAGTTCATGCGGTTTTTTACACAACAAACATTTCAAACTACATTTTAGAATAAAAGATTTACTTTTATTTACGGGATGAAGTTTCGATTTATTTGGCTGCACACCTTGTAAATTCTCTAATAACTGAGCTCTTTTATGAAGAAAGTCCAAAAACTTATCCCATTCGGGTAAATCAGAAGTTGTTAGAGACATTTCGAATTCCTTACGTGTATTTTTATCTACTTTTGTAGAATAATATTCATTAGCAATTGATAACATAAATCGTTACTTTCTAATTTCAAAAGTTTTAAACCTCTTAAATTACGGTTTAACACATCAATAAGATTTCTTATGTCTTTAAAAGAATCATACGATAACTTTCCTAAGTTTAAAATATTAGAAATATAACTATTTACCACAATACGCTTATTCTCATATCTATCAATTAAAACTTTCATTAAAGATTCAAATGAATCTTCACTAGTTTCTATATATTTAGCATCGCCCTTAAGCGATGATCTCAAATAAATCAACTTTTGTAAATCAGACAATGAAGAATTATTAGATATTAAACTATCGAATTGTTGTTTAAAGCTTGACCAATGCTCAACTTGTCCATTAAATGTAGGCAAATTAATATCTGGTAACTTCAAATTCACTTTAGTTACAATAGAATCATTGCCTCTCACTTCACTATGTTGAAACTTAAATATAAAGGTTTGCAAGCTTACCTTTATGTGTTCTATAGACTCTTCTAAATTGTCCATTTCAGTTTCAAAATTGGGCAAATCTTTTTCATCGAGGGTGGCATAGTAATTCAATTTTAATTTCTCTAGTTTATCACAAGTATCCAAAACGTTTTCTAATTTGCATTGAAGCAATAATAGTCCAGCTGTTTCAGCTTTCTCACGAACAAATGTCTCTAATTTGGTTATTCGACCTTTCAAATAACCCTTTCTGCGACTAAGCACAGTCTTTTCTGATTTTTTGTCTTCTTCACTACTACTGCTCATCATGAAGAAAGCGAAATTAAACTACGCATTCCACAACAAGCCGAAAGTTCGAAAGTACGATTTCTCCGGTTCCACTAGGATCACTTTATTATGTACACGATTGTACACAGTGCGCTGGTTCATTAAATAGTATAATTTCAACAAACAATATTTTATTTTAACAATTGTAAATAACCAAATTCATTGCACTATTACAATGGAAGCCACGACTGGCTCAAACAAGAGTTCAAGAGAAACTGAGCAGTTCACAACAATTGCTACAGATGGCGCTTCGCTGAAGACCGAACAACCGCCATGGGTGAAAAATGTGGTATTATTGATAACTAAATGGTACCAGCAATTATTCAAAATAATGCAAAGAAAATACACTTTTTACATTTACTTTTAATTATTAAAATGGTAACAAAATATTAAAGAAAAAAACTATTTTTAAAAAAACTGAAACCTATTCAATTAAAATAAGTTTTCAGTAAAATTAAGCAATAATTATTTGTGTAAATAACTTTAAAAAATAAAGTTGTAAATTTAAATGTTTTTCAACGCAACTTTGAAATACTTTTTACTTTATATTTAAATATTTTTTGAAAAATCACTTGGTAATTAAAATATATCTTTCGTTTCATTTAAGCGTTGTTACCATAAGCTAATTACAGCAACTGTTTGAAGATGAGAAAGTAAGTCATAATCAGCAAATACAGACTTCTATAAGATATTGATTCAAAACAAAATTCATTCAAAAGTAAATTGACCTTTCATTTTTTAAAAAAAAGAAAAAAATGTAGAAAAACATTGAAAATATTTGCCATTTAAATTATAAATGAAGAAATTCACGTAAAAATGATAAAAAAAATAAGATATTAGTAAAATTACGTTATATTATATTAGCTACGTAATTTTACTTCGACGTTGTTTTAAAAGAAAAAGATATTCTGCCAACTTACAGGGATGAGAGTAGTCAGAAAGTAAAAAAGATAAAATCCAATATATATATATATATATATATATAAACAAAAATTTGACAAACAAGGTGCAATTTTTAAACTTGTAAGCCATGTGATTATAAATCCCGATATGAGGCCTTTAAATCACGTAAATATGAAACTCTACATCGAATTTAAAAAATGCGAAAATACAAATCATGATGCGTAATTTTTAGATCAAGATGCATAATTTTAAAATCGCGCGATATTACAACCGCAAAAACGAATCACGACATTGGATTTTAAGCTCCCGTAGCTACATAGGGTTTTAAAAGCTCGTAATTACAAATCGCGATATTGGTTTTTTAATCTCGTAAATTAGAATCGCATTGTACAATATTTAAATGGCCTGAATAAGAATCGCAACGTTCAATTTTTAAATCAGGTAAATACGAAAATCGATGTTGCGTGTATTCCTTTCAAACACATTCAGAATTTTTTTACTAATTTATTTTTTTTAATCTTCGAAACTTGAGAAATTTTAATTAATGCTCTATTTAAATTAATGCGCTATTTTAGTTAAGGGTTTTCTGAAATTTATTACTTCTAAGATTCATTGTTTTGCTTTTTTCCGATTAATTTAAATCATTCCTTTTCGCTCTCAACTTGCACCCAACTCAAAGTCATTGACTGGGTTAAGCAATTATTCTATTTAAGAGAAAGACTCTCTGTACACTAGTGTGTTAGGTTTTTGAAACTTTTTCTTATCAAAGTTAATAGTGCATTAACAGGGGATCACAAAACAAATCACTATATCCCTTTTTTACATTCTAAATGATGTGAGTAAGTCAAAGAGGGGTAAAAACCCCTTAGTTTACTTCAATGTATAAAACTGGCAGCAAGATTTGATTAAATTTTCAACTTTACCCCAAACACCTACTAATGAATAAGAAATCCCTATTGAAGTGATCACCTATTGTATCTTTATCTTAACTGAAAAAGGGAAATTCCATTTTAGCTGGTGAAACATTTTTCAAAAATAAACAATATTTTTTTCATTTCAGTACCACTTCTTTATGTAATTAGGCGGGGGCGAAAAACAACAAATAACCGTTTAAACGGGGAAGTTTAACATTAGTTTCTTCTAAAATGATTTGGTTCCATTAAATTTTATTCGTATAAGCGGGTAATTCGATTATGCGATTAAGCGGGAACGACAGTACAAAATAACTAAAAAGAATTATTTATCAAGAAAAAACTGAATTTTCTATTTTTAAACACGTTACATTTTCAATATAATTAGCATTAGTACATTTTCCTTCATAAAGGATTGCAGTTTGGACTTGTAAAAACAAAGCCTACGAAAAAATATAGAATTTGAAATTTCAATTAAATAAGATCTATGAAAAATAATTTCAGCTGAAAAAATCTAAAAAAGAAAAAAAATACTATTTCAAGCACAAAATAAAAGTTTAGTAAAAAGTAAAAAACGGAAAAAGAATTCTAATTTTCAGAATTCAAATGTGATTTATCTTTTTCTATCCCTAGCTCCTACTAATGAATAACATAGCATTCTTAATTGCTCTTTTTTCTTTCTTTTAATTATTTTACTGCACAAAAAAGATTAAGAAAATAATTTTATCTGCTTCATAAAAGTCAATTTTTACCCGAAATAATTTAATTGGAAAGTAATAACACCTTTAATGCAATTTAATTAAACTTAATATTTAAACAATAAGACTGCAAATAATAAATATGTATTCATAAAAAAATTATACTTACATTCAAAACTTAGACTGCGGTAGATAGGATGAGCGGATTTTCTATTTTATTTAATGTAAATTTATAAAATACACTTTGAGTAACTAAGTATCCGTACATGACAGTTAAAGCAGGTGAGTGAAACTGCTTTGAGCCCCATCCTTCTTAACCACATGGATATTGTCTTTATTCTCAGAAAGAGAAAATATAGCTTAGGGCATTTCTAGCTAACAACTTTTAAAAGACCCTCGATTCGACAGAAATATCCGGGGTTTTGTCTGCTGCTTCACAAGATCGAGTCGCAGCACCAGCGGCTTCATCAAACAGAATTGCCTCCGTGAATATTCGGAATTCTCTATTTTCACCATATTTTTATTGAAATAATTAATGAATCCAAAATTACAACATTTAACGCTTTGAACTCGGCAACCATTCTCAAATTGTGTGAAATGATCGAAGTGTTGATTCGATTGAGTGTAACTCAATTTAATGTTTCAGAATTCTTAGGATTCTTAAAAAAAAATATTGAAAGCAAAAAACAATATTTTATTTTCAAAACAGAAACTTTTATAAAGGTGAATTGAGGATCACATATATGTTAACTATTTTTCATAGAGAATATCCAATTTTGTTGTCATGATTAATTGTTCTAAAGATATGAATTAGTCCCTGAACACTTTATTTTAGGTTAAAAAATTTTGAACTCAAGTAATAATCCAATCATTATAGAATTTTAAAAGTTATGAACTGACTGGTAGTTAACAAATTAAATGTTTTTATTTTCTTTTTTGGAGTTAGGAGTCCTTTGAAGTTAGTAAAATTCTTGATAATAGAAAAATAGCGTTTACTAATTGAAAATATAAATTATTTAATAATTTATGTTATTTAAACAGAATTTAACAATTTAAATAAGATATTTTGAATAATAAAGTATCCTATTTACTAGGTACTCTTATTTGTAATTTTTTCCCTATATTTTGAAAGTAAAAAAAAAAAAAATAGGCTGCATCACCAGCACGATTATTTCATATAAAATTTATAATTCTTTAAAAAAAAAATCATGTAAGTTCATCACTTCCTTTAAAAAAATTACTTAACGGGATTCCGAAACGAAATTTAGATAACATTGAAATCCGTTTAAATCTCATCACCGATTAAATGTCCGATAATGAAAGAATTTCGGCAAAGTC